CAGCGGATTACACACAACCAACACAACACATTAATAATATTAATTACATATATTAATATATATATATTATATATATAGTAACCTTATTCAATATTATAATATTCTATCTATGTACATTATCAACATTACTATTTAGTGTTCTGTTGTGTGTGGGTGTGTGTCGTGTGTGTGCTGTGTGTGTGTGTGTATTGTGTGCTGTCGTGTGGTGTGGTGTGTGTGTGTGTGTGTGTTGTGTCTGTTTGTGTGTGTTTTTTGTGTGTTTGTGTGTGTGGTGTTGTGTTTATGTTTGATGTGTTGATGTAGTGTGTGTGTGTGTGTGTTTATGTGTGTGGTGTGTCGTTCTGTGTGTGCTGTGTGTGTGTTGTGTGTGTTTGTGTGAGGTGTTGTCATATGTCATATTATGTATGCTCATAGTTTTTATGGAATAGTACATATTCATTACTTCCTTCCTACATAGGCTTGTATCTTATATAGAACGAAATCAATTAATATATAAAATGCAGCTTCTAGGAAACAAGAAATATCTTTTTATAACAAGGATTTTTTATTATTTTATTAATTGGGTGAATAGTATTTTCACGAATCATAGATACTTAATTCACATATGAATATAAATGATTTTTCTTATGTAATAATATATTGATAATAATTGCATTTCTATGTTATAATTATTCAGAATATAAATGCATTTCTATTAACAGTTACCTAGTAATGAACTAGTATTTTTAAAACCATGAAATAAATGCATCTTTATTAAAGCATAATTGAAAATAAATGCTTTGATTTTTTTTAACAATGAAATAAATGTTTAAAAAGTAAAAAGAAATTAATTTTCATTGAATGAAAATGAGGTTGCATTTTCTATTAAGTATAATGAAATAATTGCAATTCCATGAAGCATAATGAAAGTTTTTTTCTTAAATGCAACAATCAAATAGATGCATTTCCAGCTAACCGTATCATATGGAAAATAATACCAATCTGATTGCACATTCTTTATTGTTTGTACCGTTCACCTTCCTGGAGGAGGAGAGTTGCGCGCCGGCGCCAGGCCGGTCCTCTGAACGCTTACGACAGAAATAAATGTCTCAGGCGGGGTCTTCGCCGGCACGACGAAGGAGTCCCGAATATAAACGATCTTCTGAAAAAATCTTACAAAACCTACAGACCTGAGCCTAGGTGACACCAGGTTCCTCGTCGGAGGTGTTATCTCGGTGGGCCTCCGACGTGCCAGGTACTTGCCCGGTGTTGACTGAGCGAGGCGACACAGCGAGGCGCCACACGCTCATCACGCAACATTTACGAGAGGCTTGGTGGCAAGCTCGAACCCAGAAGGCATGTACAGCACGTAAGGTACGATGATCTTGTTGAGGACCAGAGTCTGCTCTCGCCCAGGCACTCGTGGTTCACGAGGGTGAGACAGACGTGCCGGACAGGATGTAGAGGGCGGACGGAAGGCTCCAGCGCTGGACGATGGCGGCGGGAAGATGGCGAAGCCCAGCGGAACGGAGTACAAACATTACAAGGAGGTGAACAGGTCACATACCACCCACGGGGCCAGTCTTGGGGCGTCGCGAGCGTGGGGCGGATAGGAGGTAGTATCAACCTGTTTGGGCCGCCGAGGGACAGCGTCAGTCGCGTCGGCTCCGAAGGCGCTGCTCCGAGGGACGCCCCGCGGATGTCGTCGAGCGGCGTTGATGCCAGTCCAGACTCGCTGCTGGCGTCCTGTGTCGGCCTGTAGCCGTGAGGTACCCGAGGAAGGTGGAGCCAGAGCAGCGTGGACGTCTAGACCTTACTGAACGCGAGATTAGTTTTCTGTCCATCCCTCTCTTGGCACTGTTTCCCGGACCGGACGAGGAGCCGGGGAGTTATCGCCAGGCAGTCCAACGTTCGGGCGTGTCGGGGCCGCGTCGCCGCAGACCGGACCCGGGTTAGGAGGAACGAGTGCGGGCGGGAGGAGTGCCAGGGTGAGGGTGCTTACGATCGCGGAGCGCCCTGCCGCTCCGTCACTGCTCCCGCGGAGCTCTCCTGGCCGCGACCGTCGGACACCGGGCTCTGCCGCCCCGCTATTCCTGCATTGCCTACGCCGCCCATGCCTTGCCAGCTCTCCGGAGGGTGAAGGCCCGCTGATCGCCAGGAGAAGGACGAGAGGGCGCGCCCGAGGGAAAACAGGACGGCGAAGATTCTGCTGAAGCCTGTCCTGAGGGTCATGCCGCCGGGACCTGTGAAGGAGGAAGCACTTAGCATACATAGAGCACACCCACACTCACAGATATAATATATATATATATATATATATATATATATATATATATATATATATATATATATTATATATTATATATATATAATATGTATATATATATATAATATATATATTATATATATATATATATATATATATATATATATATATATATATATATATATATATATATATATATATGTATGTGTGTGAGTGTGTGTGTGTGTGTGTGTGTTTTGCATGTGTGTATACATATATATACAAATATTACGTATACACACACACACATACACGCAAGATTTAGAAAAAATTCTGCTGCAGCCATTGTTTACAGCGCATCAAACAGCGAAATCAAAGATCCACATATCGGTGTAGATATTTCCTTGCAATAAGATATCAGCGATGTTGCATTGGCGACACAAGCATAGGCATCGATAAGTCTTCGAAGAATTGATGTATTCGAACCGCTTAAGCCAATTTTCAAGAAACGGTATATCGTTATCGCTTTTGGCAAATGCGTGTCGACGTCCATCACTGCCCGCACACTTACCGACGAGCGTGGTGAGCGAGGCGGAGTACAGCAGCGCCCCCGACATGGTCCACGTCGGGGCCCTGGAGGCGTAGCCCGCTCGCGCCGCGTCCAGCACCGCATTCTCCAGGCGCCCCATGTACGTCTCGATCTTGGTCCTCCACACCAGGTCGTACGGCAGCACCTGGCGCAGCTCCGTGGCCAGACCCAGCACCAGGTCCGTGCGCAGGGAGGCCATCCTGTCCACGGTCTTGCTCTCCGCCGCCCCCTCCACGGTCGAGAAGATGGCCGCCCCCGCCACCCACCACGCCACCACCAGCACCGCCAGCCCCACCTGGCAATGAAGAGTAACACGATAATGATAATAATAATAAGGATAATAGTGATAATGATAATAATGGTAATGATAATGACGATAATATTCACATACTAGCAGTAATAGCAATAGTAATGATAAAAAACAATAATGATAATGATGATAATAATAATATTAATAGTAAAGATAACAACAACAATAATAATGATGACGATAATGATGATGATGATGATAACAATAATAATAATAACAATAATAATAATAATAATATATTAATAGTAATAAAATAATGATAATAATATTAATAATAATAACAACAATAATAATAACAGTAATAACGCTAATGATAATAATAATAATGATAATAAAAATAACAATAATAATAATAACAATAATAAAGATAGCGATAACTAATAATGACGATCAGCAATAACCACAGCAACAACAACAACAATAATAATAATAATGATAATAGTAATAATAATAATAACAACAACAATGATAATAATATCAATAATAATAAAGATAACAATAATGACTAACAATAATAATAATAGTAATAACTGTAATAATCATAATGATAATGATAAAAAAATAGTAACAATGAGGATAATGATAAAAAATAATAATGATAATGATAACGATAATTATAATAAAAGGAATAACGATAATGATGATAATAATAATAATGATAATAACAATGATAATAAAATAATAATAACGATTATAATAATGACGATAATTATAATAATAATAATAACAATAACAATAACAATACTACTATTATTATTACATTAATAACAATAATAACGTTAAAAGTAACAATGATAATGATATTAATAACGATAATAAAAATAATAAGAATGATAAAAGGAATTTAATGATAATAATAATAGTAATAATAATTATGATAATAATAGTAACAGGAGAATAGTGATGATAATGATAATAATAATGACATTAACAATGATTAAAGCAACAATTATAATAATAATAATGTGATGATAATAACAAAAGCTGTAGTGATAATGGAACTGATAAATAAATAACTGATATTTAAGATTAAAAATTACGGCATTGAGGATAATGATAATGAATGGAAAAGAAAATAATGATAATATAATTAATATCATAATCATTATAGTTATCATTCTTGTTATGATGATGATTATTATTATAATTTTCACTATTATCAATTTTATCATTATCAGACGGTAATATTATTGATATTATTATTATTATTATTATCATTATCATTATTTTATCAGTATTATTATCATTATTTTATAATTATCATTATTACTAAGTACTAGTATTAGTATCATCATTATTACTGTTATTATCATTATCATAATTATCATCATTATCATTATTATCATCATTAATTTTCATTTATGATTATTATTCTTATTATCATTATTATTTCTATTATCATTACCATATCATTACTCTCATTATTATTATTATTACTAATAGTATCAATATCATTATTATTATGATATAATATATGATTATAGCAATAATAATGATGATGATAATAATAATGATAATAATAATAATAATAATAATAATAATAATAATAATAATAATAATAAAATAATAATAATAATAATAATAATAATATAATAATTATTATTATCAATATTATTATCATCACTATTTTTATATAATGATTAATATTATTATCATTACCATTATCATTACTATTATTTTCATTATTATCATGCTTATCATTATCACTATCATTATTATTACTATCATTATTACAAAGACTATCATTACTATCATTGTTATCATCATAATTAGTGACCGTAATAATTGTTGATAACAATGATAACAATATAAAAAATGACGATAACTATACTGATAGTAAAATATGATATTAACAGTAATGATAATGATAACAATAA